ACGATCCAAAAAATTTGTTATTTCTTCGGTCACGAAATTAATAAGGTTCTTTGAGAAAAATTACTTCATTAGTGGGTTCCCACTCTTTATCTAACCAGAGATAGCTGAGAGCTTGGATCTATGACCGGTAACTCTACAGTTACTATCTATGCAGATGGCTCAAAGATGGAAGGCGGTACGGGAGCAGGTATCTTCTCGAAAGATATGCAGATAAGACAGTGCTACCGAATCCCTGCTACTTACAGCGTCTTTCACGGCGAGATATATGCTATCGAGAAAGATGTCAACATTAGACAATAAAGTACAATTTGTCCTTCGAATATCACGATTTTTGTAGATAGGCCGCACTGAAAGCAATTGAATCTAAATTCCAAGATAGTCGCATCACTGATGAGCATCCAACATCATAAGGTCTCTCTTTGTTGGAGATAGTACATTTCGAATGCTTGGGCATAGCAATATTGAAGGGAATGAACTAGCAGATGAGATGGCCAGAAGAGGTTCTGAATTGCATACTGGAGAGGCCGACCTCTCAATACATACACCGATTTGTAAACTGTTTAGGATAATAGAGGGAATCAATACTGTGACAATTTATAAACTAACCGCGAAGACTGTAAGGTCGCTAGAATCGTATAGCCTAAGTTGGACAAAAATAAAACGAAAAGCCTTTTAGGCTTCAACAAACCTGCAGTTCGTGTGCTTTCTGGAGTACTAAAGGGGCACTGTGCCATTGCGCCGATGCTCCAACGGTGGCGAGTTCCAACAAGTGGATTATGCAGGAGTTGCTAAGATGAAGAGGAGCTAAAATCTATCAACCACTTCCTGCGTCTCTGTAAAGGACTTTAAACAAGGCTACTTTAACATCTCCTGGTAAATTTTTTTGAGGGCATCCCAATGGGCAATATATGTCTCCGAGTAGAAATGCTGACAACTGTCAGCACGAGCATTCCGAACATAACCTTACCTAGTATGGGTTAAAATTTTCACACATATGCTCACCATAAAAATGTATATATCTCGTACAAATTATCCGAGTTATATGTAAATTGATCTCTTAAAATAAATATTTTTAGTAAGTACATGATTTTCGCCATCCATCGAGAATCTTAGATGGCACCTGGGCGCCACAGGTAACCAGGTAACTACTACAAAATATGTATAGCGTAGCGATCCGAAACCTTGCATTTGTCAAGGGCGGAACCTAAACTAGGAGTGATAAATTGAATCGTTCTGTCTGCGTTATCCCAATATTGTTGAACTGTGACTAAAGACTCAGCTTCCATTTTGAGACAATTTCTTCATCGAATTTATTCCAATTAAAATCAATGGAATTTTTAACCGCTCTTGCTTCGTTTCCCTGTACGACCATTTTCTCTTTTCGATTCTTTACGAAAAACTTCTTGTTTTGACTACATTTTCAATTCTACTTAAATATCTATGTAAATTATTAAGTAGAAATGGTTTATTTTTGTTTTTTATTTATGTTTCTTCCGTTTCTTGTAAACATTTGCGATTGCATTGTGCATGAGAGCACAATGCAAAAGTATGAAATAGAAAACAGAGCACAGACGCTCAACTAATTATTGTGTTTTGCGCATAATTTTTAACCGATTTTGCTCATCACTATCTTATTAAAAAGACATTTTAATTATCTATCAAATGAGTATATATAAATAACTGTTGAAACAAGTAAAAAAGATAAAAAATGACCTTGAATTGAAAAATTTCTGTTTTTTGTACTGAAAACACAACTTTGCTCGAGTGGCGCAACGTCATTTTTAATCCTATTGCTCCAAAACTTTGGGAATATCATTTTTAAGGTCAATGGCATATTCCTAGGGGGTGCGCTCATTCAAAACTTCATTTTTAATTTTCCCCCTTATAACGTGAGCCACCCTAGTGTATCCCCTTACCAGTATGCATGCCTTTATTTTTCCAGCTGTCTGTGGAAAGAACAGCATGGTGACTGATGTAACGAGTCGCTTAATTGTGTTATGAACTATCCAGGGCTCTTGAATCAATAGTCTGTCCAACTTTTCTTCATCAAAGTGTCACAGTGCTACTTTACTGTGATAAATATTTAATTGTTCAACCTTTATTGTTTTTTGGTGTGGGACCACCCACCACCCTAATGGGCTACACAGATCCATTTGTCCCATACCAGAGTGGTTGTCATGCTCATCGTGTATCTATTTAGAACTTCACTCTGGCTTCATCTAGACTACAGATGTAGACCCCCTGCGGTCTTACTTGCCTGAGCGTGTTCTTTAGGACACCACACTGTGATCATAATGACAGCATTGCTTGCATCGCCAAACTTGCTAAAATTAGTGATCATCCATTTCTAAATGTCTTTCATACAGCTGTTTTGGTTCCGCAGCCTGCTGATAATACTTTTCTTGCTTACGGTAGAGTCGCAGATAAATATAAATATTCTCCTTTGGTTTCGAAATACTGTTAGCTTGTCAGCCGCCAGTTTAGCTTCTGGTCAAAGGTCTTGCAGCTTAGTTATCGTACTAAGTAGTCATGGCTTGGATTGTTAATTTTTACACTTAATGGTAATGTAGCCATTGTCAAAGCGAGCGTTGTCAACAAAGCCTATGTTACTTTTTCCGCCATCTAGGGACTCCACGGCGTTCAACAAAGATGCTTTGAAAGCAACTATGTTTCTCATCAATTGGTCCTTCGACTTTTGAATCGATCCCATCTACCTGGACATAGGACCTCTTTTAGACAGGGCCATTGTTCTTCTACAGCCCACTTGCCATAACTATGCTTATTTGCAGCCTAACTGGTGCTAGGCAGTTGATCCGTAAGCCTAGTTTGAGGCCCCACTTGGCTGACATTTGTTGTTGGTTGTCTACCTTATTTGACCCCAACCTTCCGACCTATGAATTTTGGCTGGTTGACACCCCAGGTTGGTGGGCTTTAAACCGAACCTGGGGTGCAGTTTGCGTTCTCCACGCCAACAGTCCTTTTCCCAACCAATACAACTCAGTTATGTACCTATTTAGGTACTCCACGTTGCGTTTTGGTTGGGTTTTCGACCATCGATTTAACTTGACTAACATTCCTTACTGGCTGTTCACCATCAGAGTTATCGCCTGTGGTTCTAGCTGAAAGAGTTGAACTGGCTGTCGGAACTCCAGCTCCATGATATAAGGTTTACTTATTTTCATTTATATTGTACAACGTATAGTTAAAATAAGAAATTGAAATATTATGTTATTAGTGATAAGATTTTAAAACTTATTGTTAATGGAGCATCCAAGTTAAAAGAATACATCTATCTATATACATAAAAGAAAGTCGTGTTAGTTACCACTTATAACTCAAGAACGGCTGGACCGCTTTTAATTATTATTGATTTGGTGGATTCGTCTCCGCTCCGAATAGCAGAATATCTTACAAAATATTGGAAAAATCCACAAATTTTAACATAAATAATACTCTGTTTCAAACTGTGGACAGTTCGACAGGAGTGATACTGATTTTCTTTTTGTTTTTTTGTGTGTTATCAATATTTCAAATATTTCAAATTTCAAATTTAATAAATAAATACTGTCATCAATATATGAGCTGAAAGTACCGAAATTCTATTTTTTTTTTGTTTCATAGAGAAATAAGAAAATTATTTAAACTACAAAAAAGGAAAACTTTATTTTTAATTTATTGAATTTTCGGTTGGCCAGATAGCTGTTTGCAAAAAAGCATATATATTTTACCGGTCAATTTGTTTGTTTTGTGCAAGTGTTATTAATATATTTTAAAGTGTGTGTATTATTATTAACAAGGCTGCGACCCAGAAAGTCTAATCTTTCCCAACATAGCCGTAATACAAATAGGCGTCGAAACATTACGCATACATCCACTGAAGAAGAACGAGAAATCGCACGAGAAAAGGGCTGCATTAGTATGACCCGACTTCGCGCTTCTCCAACGTAACAACAAAGAGAGGCAGCCTGTGAAACGGCTAGGTTGGCAATGAGAAATCGTCGAGCTTATCACGATTGTGACATAAGTAATGCATGTAGATTTTTTTGCAGTTTAAAAGAAAAAATAATTTCAAAATAATTTTTACGAACTTAGTGTAGAATAACAATGCAATATTATCAAGTTTTTCAAGTTAGCTTTTTAACACTTTCATTTTATTTTCATTATACATTAATTATAGAATACCTTAAAGAACTGAATTTCCATTGTCAACTAAAATTTGTTGTTTGAGTTTTGTATTCACATGTATTCAATAGGTGTGCCAAAATATGCAACAAAAATTTTGTTTAGCAATTTCTTTTCGTTTCGTTCGGAGTAAGCAAAGGTTCTATTCTTTGAAAGCTTTTCTTTGATTATAATGTTACCATCCTTCTTTACGATGTGTGACCCGCAGCATGTTTTTAATCTACTACATTTACGCAAATTTTCTTTTGATGTACTGGTAAAACTACATAACTTTATTCTTATGGTATATAAAATAAATGAATTTAAATTGATCAATTAATAAAACTAAATTTAAGATTGTAACCTTTTATACGCAACTATGAACGTATGTATTTGTTTCTGCGGCACGCCAATCTATACAGTGATTTGTATTGGCCCGTGATCGCCTCTGGTTTGGACAGCCCTGCTTTAGATAATGAATATTTTAATTTAAGTTTCGTGATCTTATAAAAGGTGTTTTCGGTCGTTTTAAGGAGCAGCAAAAACAACAATTCTTTGCAAAGGTCTTTAATTTGTACGCAAAACAACAACACTATTCTATTGCAATACGGAGTCTCCAACGGAAGACTTGTTAGTTGTAATAACAATATTTTGCAGATGGGAACAATGAACGACGGAATACACCTAATTTAATAGTTTACTGTTTAAATATTGTCATGTCGTTTATTTTATGTCGTTATCTTAATTATTTTTATGAATTGCATAGTACATAAAAATGTGTTTCGCAAAAAATATCTTTACTTTATTGACAACTTTTTAAACATTATTTTTTGTTTTAGTCTATTATTGAGTCTCCCGACAAGCAACTTACTTTAAATGAAATCTACAACTGGTTTCAAAACACTTTTTGTTATTTCCGACGGAATGCAGCAACTTGGAAGGTATGTTTACTGTATTAATACAAATATTCACACTAAATATGTACATAAATATGCATGAACACATAGAAGAAAAGAGAGAGAGCGAAATACACAGAATGAAAAAGAAAAAGCAATACAGACACGATTTTATATACACATACGAAGAGGTTGATATGCAGATGTCTGAGTTGGTGATTCATCACCTTAACTCTATCATATCTGTGGACAGTTTTAAGTCACACTAGGAATATCTGAATACGGGGCTTTATAATATGATGGATCTGATGTTTTTGTATCTGCCTGTGTTTATCAGATTTTGCTGTGTTTTTAGGTTGCTGAGTGTTGGATTATTGTGATTGGCAATTATATTGAACAGTGTCAGTGCACGATCTTTAACACGTACAGAGTGCGTCTATGTATACACATATGAAACAGAAATATATATATATACGCATTTGCGTAGGGATTTTAAATGCCTATATATAATACATATAGAGATATTTACATAATGTAAACTAGGCTTCCTTATTTCAATCTTTAAAAAACTATCAGAACATCATTTCAAACACCATTCTAATAATTTCCATATAATAGCTATGCTGGCATTCACTCACTCTGGATTTAATTAAAGAAAATCCACTCTGGGTATTAGCCGCGTTTTACGGATTTACGTAAAAAGAATGTTATATTAGTTGTATATTTATCGCTTTTTTGCATGTGACTTATTATTGATTTATGCTATTTTGGTTATATGTTCTGTTGGCATTACGCCATTTTAAAATATATTTTTGCAGTAGTTATTATTTGACTTTTTAATTCTAATCATAGTTGATAAAAAACTGAAGTGATAAAAAATAAAAGCTTATAAATTATTCTTTATTATTGTTAATAGAAATTTATTATTATATAGTAGTGTATGTAACTATCGCCGACGTTTCGATGTTTATATGACTTCTTCCTCTGGGCGGAGTACTATTATAACTGCTCTTGAAAATATATAAGGCGGTTATTTATAGAGAAATTTGTTTACAATTTTAGTGTTCAAGCAAGTTGACAGTCAATCATTTCCATAGACGAGACCTGCATTTTCTGTGGTGAAATTTTCCACAGAACTTAAAAATCATAAGTATTTTTTTTCTTGTGTACGGTTTTCCATTTATTTGCATAAAACCGTTATTTTGATTTTCAAAACAAAACTCCCCATATGCCCTTATAATGTTGAAGACTGTTTTAATAAAAACATTTTGAGTGGCGAATAAAAATTTCAAAAGTTATACGCTATTTTTAAAATTTGTCTAAAATAGTGTGTAATGTGGATTTATTCCACATATTTGACAGCCTAAGTTTTGCCTTACTTTATATTAAACAGAATAAACGACGAAACGTAACATTGCATTTATTGTTTAGGAATTTATCCTACGCACAAAGTAACACTTCACACACTTCTGAGTGCACTGAAGCTAACTTACGGTTTATGCTGATTCAGTTATGATAACCATAGTCAAGCTGCACACAGCATTCTTTGTTTACTTGATGAACAATGTTGCTGAAAAATGTTATGGTTTCTCTTATAGAAATAAATTTAAATACGACAAACACCACCACACTTATATTAAAAATGGAAATCCCAGAATAACTGGCTTGGTTTGGTGAGCTTTTGCTTTCAATTTCGTTCTAGTCAAGCCGAGAAACTACTAAAACAAAAAAGATGCAGATTATAGAGAAATTCTTTTATCATTAATTGACAATTACAAACTTATTGGGACATAGTTTTCTAAAAAAGTATTTCTGGTACTCTCATGTGGACTTCAAATCTCGATGATGAACAAGGTGAAATGTTCCATCAGATTATCTCAGCAATGGAGAAAATATATCAAGGGTATTAGGACGCGAACATATTTGAAGATTATTGGCGGACAATTTAAAAGACAACTACAAACTATAACAAGTTTGCAGAAAGCACACATGTACCTTGAGTAAACATACGACAGAACATACAAGTCAAGTACGGCTTTAGGTCAGTGTACTAACGAACGCTGACTTTGAGCTTCAAATTTGGCAGGATACGAGTTCACTCTTGGTACTTGCAGTTTTAAAAAATTATTTGCAATAATTAAATAGAAAAAATAATTCTAAGCCCAGTGATGATGTGTGTTTGGCATTAGTCGAAAAACATAAAAAAAGAGTTGTCGTTGTTGTTGTAGTTCACTACTTTTGAAACCTCTCTACAAAATTTTTTTTTTTAATAGCTTTTTTTTTAAAAAACATCCTTTTATTGGATATGAGTAGTACAATCTTAACTATTATTTAATTTATTACTATTGGTGAATTGTACTTAATATATATTAAATAATATAAATATTAAGTAATATGTGTGCGGGTTTACTGAACTAGTGTTCAGCTCCCATACAAATAGTTTATAATACAATGTTTAATAACTTATAATACAATGTTTTATAATTTATAATAACAATAATAATACAATAATTATACTATAATTTATAATAATAATACAATAATTAATAATACAAATAATTTATAATACAATATTATCTATGTTAACTGATGAGGTTTTGTTCGCTTTAATCTTCTGAGCTCATTGGTAATATCCAACAGTTGAATAGCTTCTACATTGATGTGGTTGAGTATTCGTTTTTCATGCGCCCAACAGTTACTTTTTGTATGGTTTCTTTAACTGATGAAACTTTCAAGTCTTTACATATTTCTTGGTTTGTTACATATCGATAAGCATTTATAATCATACTTAAACATTTGTTTTGACTTCGCTGCATGATGTCTCGGTTCGATTATTTCGTACAGCACCATAGCTGTATGCCATACATCCAAATCGGTTTCACGATAGATAGATAAATCAGTCTTTTACAATATAAATTAAGTTGAGAATGATGTCCGATTAGCCAATACATTTGCCGACATTTGTACTTGATTTGGTCGGATTTCTGTTTGACATGATGTTTCCAATTAAGTTTATTATCAAGATGTATCCCAAGGTATTTTGCTGACTTTGCGTGCGGAACTTGTATGCCATTTAGATATGTATACGAATTGTTACTTGTACGCCGCAATGACAATGTTACATGAGTGGATTTATTTTGGTTTAGTTTAATCTTCCAGTCAGCGGTCCAACGGCTGATATTGTTGAGCGCTGCCTGTAGTTTATTTTTGGCTGCTTCTTGTGCATTTTCATATGCCATTAGTACAGTATCATCGGCGAACGTACCGATGAATGTGTCTCGAGCTGTAGGTATGTCAGCAGTGTAGACGGTAGTATTTTGCTCATCTTATATATAAGTCCTTAGTGCCATACACGATCAAATGCTTGAGATACGTCAATAAACCCTGCAGGACAGTATTTCTTTTCCTCAAATGCTTTTTCAATTGTCTTAATTACTCGATGAATTTGATCAATAGTCGAGTGCTTATTCCTAAATCCAAACTGAAAGTCAGGTATGTTGATCATAGGCTTAAGGCGTCTAAGTAATAGCTTCTCGAATAGTTTTGAAATTGTTGTTAACAGAGATATCGGTCGATAAGAGTTAACTTGTTCTGGTGGCTTATCTGGTTTTTTTATCATGATAATTTTTGCTATTTTTAAACATTTTGGTACGTATTGTAACCGAAGGCAGGCGTTGAAAAAATATGTCATCATGATAATTGATTTGCGTGATAACTCTTTAAACAGGCCCTGTGATATTTCATCTATTCTCGGTTCTTTTTTTGGATTGAGGTTATTATCAATTTCTTGTGCTATTTCTATAGAAGTTATTGGTTTGATAGTTGACGATGGTTGATATACAGGTGTAATATTGACATCAGATGGAATGTCATGCGGTTGGAATACTGCGACAAGATGTTGGGCAAACATTTCTGCTTTCTCATTATTTTTTCTGACCTGAAGGAGAGGGCGCTTGAGGCGACGGGTTGCCTTCCATAATGAATAATCTTTATCTGATTCGGTTCCAAGTCCACTTAGGTATTGCTCGAAACTTATTTGTTTATAATTTTTAATTAGCTGATTAACAGAATTACTTAGCCAATTAAATATTGTTTTATCAATTGGATTTCTGGTTCTATACCATGTACGTCTATCTTTCCTTCTTTCCTTGATTAAATCCCTCATCTCAACTGGATATACAGCTTCTTGTTCAAATTGTTCTTTTGGAATCGGGGTAGCATCTGCGGCTGCTGCAACAAAGTGCTGTGTTTGCTTCTCAAGGTCTGCTTTAGTGCACAGTCTCACCTTCAAGTCAATATAGTTATCTAGGTTTTCTCTAAATCGGTCCCAATTTGTGTGTTTATTGGAAAGGTTTAATTTTCTCTTCATTTTGATAAAATTTGCACTTAAAATTAGTAAAACGGGAGTATGGTCGGATGTTAGATATTCCAACCCTTCTGTTGCTACAAAATTAGATGATATCCATTTCGAAAAGAAAAAGTCTATCAGATCAGGAATTTTGTTGCTATCTGTAGGCCAGTATGTAGGAGAACGTGATGAGTGATAATTGCATTTTGCTTCATTTATGGCATCGAGTACTTCATTACCTTTACCAGCAGTAATCAGCCGAGACCTCCAGGTAGTATGTTTGACATTGTACTCTCCTCCAATAATGAATTTTGGCCGAAGGGTTTTGAATATGGTTAAGTATTGCTTTTTGCTAATGGTATGACGTGGCGGACAGTATACAGCTCCAATATTTAATTCAGCTTCGTTGTGTTGAATTGCGATAACTGTGGCTTGTATATAATTCTCTTTTATTTCATCTTTTTGATAATGCTGTATATTTTCTTTAATAAATAGAGCAGTACAACCACGGACTGTGCCGCTTGGATGTGTAGTCCCGTAGGCGCAATAACCCATAATATTACTATGATTTAATTGCGAAAAGTGGGTTTCGGGTATCAAAGCAATATCTATATTATTTGTTTTCAAGAATAATTCTAGCTCATGAGCTCTTTGATTGAGCCCATTTGCATTCCATGTCATTATTCTGAGGAATTGA